GTGAAACCCTGTGCACTGGAGATGGCAAAAAATTGTGCTGGGAGAGGAGACCACGAAGCTCTGGCATCCAAAACATTGCCAAAGAAACTTAAAGAGGTGATGGGAATAATTGTGCAAACAGTCAACTTTATTCGTAGACGTGCATTTAATCAGCGGCTGTTTAAAAAATTCTGTGACGAGATTGGAACGGAACAAGGAGTGTTGCTGTACCACACAGAAGTACGTTGGCTGAGTCGTGGCAGTGTTTTCACACGGGATGAAAGTCTCGGAGTTCTCAAGCATCAACAATCCACTTTAGCAAATCATTTTGAAGATGAGCATTTTATTGTTAGCCTGGGATATTTGGCTGATATTTTCAGTCTTCTCAATGATTTGAACACATCAATGCAGGGAAGGGATGTGGACATCATTCAAGACAGGGAAAAAGTTGACACATTCACAAGGATATTACCTATCTGGAGTCGCCGTGTTGAAAGCGGAAACCTAGCAAACATTCCAATCCTTTACAATATCCTTATTGGAGATGTTAAAACACTATCTGTAGAAATAATTCAAGTCAAGATTCATTTGGAAGTTCTAAGTACAAATTTTGAGGGTTACTTTTCAGATATTGATGATCTTAGCATGGATTCGATTTGGATACAAAACCCTTTCTCATTTGATATATCGAAAATGAGTGATAACGATTTATCAAAGTATGATTTCATTGAATTCCAAGAGGACCCAAGAAAGAAAGCTGATTTCGAAAGGGCTGGGATGGATGTCAAGCAGTTTTGGTGTGTACAAATCTCTACTTACCCAAGTTTGGTAATTAGGGCAATGCATATTTTGGTTCCCTTCACAACTACGTATCTCTGTGAAACAGGATTCTCTGCATTATTAAATCTGAAATCAAAGTGGAGAAATCGACTTGATGTGTCAGATGACATTCGAGTAGCTTTGTCAGTAACTGTACCATGATTCCATGCTTTGATTGCCCCCAAACAACAGCAAATATCTCCCTGGATTAGTAAAAGTCTGTTTTATTGTAGTCGAGATACGAAAAAAACTTCCACATTTATGTTCTCTTCCTTTTTCTTATGTAATAAAACTGAATTATAACTTTATTTTGCTTTCAGTAAAAAAATATAACAAAGTTATCAATGCTTATGTTTTTTTTTTCATGTTCAATTCCTAGCATTCCATATCTAAAGTACAGTAAATTCAAGCGACTGAAATATTTGGAAAACATACTGGCAAATAATAGGATTGGTGATAATTATTTCGACAGTCAAGTGAAGTGGGTATGGGACCATATTGGACAATCCATTGGAGGTCTGGATTCATCAAAAGGCTAAGAATCCCTGATCTAGTGTCTTTGAAACCATTTTTTTACGATGAAGGCTTTAATCAACATTGAAGAATGTGAAGAAATCTTGTCTTGCAGGAAGTGTCTCACCCCCAGATCACTTCAGAATGAATTTTGCCCTTAATGCAGGGTTGAACTGGAAGATGTCCTAACAACAGAATGCCTAGCTGCCTAGCTGCACATGAGATACGCTCGTGAAAAAAAAAACGTATAACATATAACTATATTTATATACGAGGGTCATTCAATAAATAAGGTGAATTTTTCGGTATAAGGACTTCTAATACAGATAGAAGATTATTTTTTTTATTTTTTTGTTTTACTTCTTTTTCACATGGATTTAATTTCTTTTGCAGATTAAAAAAAACATTGAGAGTTTTGGCCATTAACAAAGATGGCCGACCAAGAAGCATGCTCCAGGATTGAACAGCGGTCAGTTATCAAGTTTTTGGTTGCTGAAGGGTGAAAACCAGTTGAAATTCATAGGAGAATGTCATCTGTGTATGGTGCCACATGTTTCAGCCAAAAAAATGTCTACAAGTGGGCTAAATTGTTTAAAGAAGGACGGAGCAGTGCTGAGGATGAAGACAGGCCTGGGAGGCCTACAGAAGTGAGGTCTCCTGAGGTGATCGAATCAGTCAATAACCTCATTCAGTCTGACAAAAGAGCAACAGTGGATGACATTGCAAGGACTTTGAGCTTATCTGTTGGGACAGCACACAAAATTGTCCATGATGACCTTGGCTACTCGAAGGTCAGCTGTCGGTGGGTGCCAAAGATGCTTACTGCAGAGCACAAACAGAGGAGGGTCGAGTTGAGAAGGATGGTGATGAGTTTCTGAAGAAGGTGGTCACATGTGACGAGACATGGGTTTGGCACTATGAGCCTGAGTCCAAACTGCAGTCCATGGAGTGGAAGCACGTAGGCTTTCCAGCGAAGAAGTTCAAGTCCCAGCGGTCCACGAGGAAGGTGATGCTCACCGTTTTTTGGGATATGCAAGGCCCAATCACCATTTTATTCCTTGAGAAAGGAAACACTGTGAACAGTGGCAACTACTGTGAACTGCTGAGGCAGGTCAAGAAAGACATAAAAAAACAAACGCAGGGTCATCAGTCAGAAGGAGTTATCTTGCATCATGACAACGCAAGGCCTCACACAGCAGCCCAAACGGTGCAGACCATCAACGAGCTGGGCTGGGAACTGCTCCTCATCCCCCGTTACAGCCCAGACCTTGCCCCTTTAGACTTTCACCTGTTTGGTCCCTTTGAAAGCGTTCAGGAGAGGCACGAAGTTTAAAAGTGACGATGAAGTCAAAAAAATGTTGTGAGCGACTGGCTGAGACATCAGTCCAAAGATTTTTACGCTGAGGAATACGGAAGCTTGTGCACAGATGGGAAAAATATGTGACAGTGCTGGGAGACTACGTTGAAAAATAAATAAAAAAGTAAGCTTCTATCTTATATTTATCACAACGTTTCGGCCGTTGTACGCTTCTTTTTGGAATGTCGAACCCTTTACTTCGCTCGCTGGGGCAGGACTGTTCTAATCCCACGTGCCATGTCTAATGGATGTGAGTTATCAGTTATCTCCATGACGAGGCTATGTTAGTGTCTCTACTATGCGCAAATAGTTACCCCCCCCAAAAAAAAACTAGGCTCAAAACACAATCTCTATCTATAAAAGGCAGGATGTGTGTGTGTGTGTGTGTGTAACGAATGCACGGCCGCAATTTTCGACGGATTTGCACTAAAATTTACATGCCCATGCTCCAAGTTAGCAGGAAGGCCAAAACCGACTTTGCATTTCCCAACTCCCATCGATAGTGGAAATAATCGATTTTTTCATGCTTCTACGGCAGTTTTCATGTAGTTTGCGGCCATTTTGTACTGGCCAGAGTGAGAGCCTATAGCTGGCTGCCACAAATAGGCAGGAAGATTCTATTGGCCAGCGTGAGGGCCAACAGCTGACTGACACGAATGTTAACTAGCATGCTAACATGCAAAAAAAAAAATCGATAGCTACATTCGTCGCAAGTGGGAAAAATTTAAATCTGCATGGCACTTTACTCCAATTGGCTCATTCGCTTGTTTAAACTCAACGTTGATTCTGATTCCGCAGAACTGGGTTGGGTGTGAAAAAGTATTTGTTATTAACATTCTTTTTTCATTCGGTTTTTCTAGTTACGAGTCCTTTTTTAAAGCTGATCGTTTTGTGTTCATTTTGTTTAGTTCTTTTTTCGTAACAGATTTAATGTTTAGTATAGAGCTTCGAAAAAATTCGCAGTGTGAGATAGGCAAGAAGTAAGACATGTAGCAACATCAGCACGGCAAAGGGCACTCCTTTAAAGGCAAGGAAGGTCAAAAATATTTTAAGTCAAGTGATAGTGATTGCTGTATGAGTCGTACGATTTTTGAATCAAGCACGGGCAACGCCGGGTTATGCTGCTAGTGAAAGTAAAAAAATACATTTTATAGTAAAAACGTCAGCAATACATTTTCACAGAGAAAAAATTTACCACAATATATTTTGTAAAAGAAATTACTAATGTTCCCAAGAAAATTAAATTTCGATATTAAATGACCCTTAAGGAGTTGATATGCCTCTAAATAAACAAACAAACGTCATTTTGATATTTTTCTTCATTGTTATTACAGTTATTCGTATGGTACAATTATAGGCTAGGCCTGATATGTTTTTTTTAAAAGAAGTGTTTAGAGTTTAAAATAACATTGCTCATAAAGCGGAGACATACAAAGGAGCTAAAAATTATAGATCAGTCTATGGTCAAAAGAAATTTATAAATCTTAAATTTCTATGATATTATAAATGTATAAATATATTATAAATGCTTTGGGGCACGAATGTCGTAGAGAATACATCACGTGAAGGTGAAAGACAAAAAAAAAAAAGAGTGAAAATATTTTGATTGCTGAATAATGATGCTTTTTGGAATAAAAGTTTTTTTTTTCTTAAACATTTATGTCCGTTTAATATGACAGAAAATAAAAAAAATTGACTGAAAGGTGGTGAAAAGTTATAGAAATCCAGGGAAAAACTTTGATGACTGAATAATGATGCTATGAAATCATATCGATAAGAGATTGTCACACCTCTAAAAAAAAAACAAAGAAAATCCGTTTGAAAAACTTTACCATCGACTGAATATTTTGCATTTATTCATTAAGTCCTGAGAGCGCATCTATATTTGTTCCTATTAATTTATTGACATATAAGATATTAGCTTATATTAATGCGCACAAGATAAAAAAAACATTTATGTCTATACACATATAGACTTTTCATTTTTGAATTCGATTATGTTTTGATGGGTTTACAAGAGTTTGCAGACAATATAGTTAATGAGAAACTGATATTGGGAAAGATCATCACAAGACCAAATATAGATCCACCAAAAGAAACAGCATTGGGTGGGGGTGTTATATTTTGTCCTCGGAAATATTTACTTCTTATGAGAAATAAATGTTTTGAAACATAATTTCACACAGACACACACACATACACACACACACACACACACACACACACACACACACACACACACACACATATATATATATATATAAGATAATAGATAATAATCATAATATGTTTCAAATAATCAGCCAATGGAAATTGAACTTATTTAATCTAGATGAACTATCATCTATTGGAAATAGAGTGCGTTCGACACATCTGTCTTCTCCATCTATCTATCTATCTATCTATCTATCTATCTATCTATCTATCTATCTATTTCAAACTGTTTATAGATCTCTCTATACATATATCTTTTCCGACTACTCTAAGCATTATTTTGTGGCTACGTATATACATGCACACATGCATCATATATATATATATATATATATATATATATACATATACATACATACACATATATATATATATATGAATTTGAACACACGTCCCTCATAAATTTAGTAAATTTTAGACAATATAACTATATATATATATATATATATATATATATATATATATATCCTATACATATAATTAAATTTCTACACATATAATTAAATTTATATATATATATATATATATATATATATATATATATATATATATATATATATATATATATCATGTAATTACATATACATAAGAGTATCCCCTCTTTTCTCTCTGTCTTTAGAAATATATATATATATGTATATGCTCAATCATTTAATATATCGAGGAAAGATCTATGACAAATATATATATCTAGATATGTATGCACAGACATGCACACATACAAACATATATATATATATATATTTTATATACATATATATATATACATAGATACATACATATATATATATATATATATATATATATATATATATATATATATTATATATATAATATATATATATATATATATTATTTTATTGAGAAAGGAATCACACAATGCTATAGGATATTAAACTGTTGATACACAGGTAATAAACTCAGAATAGTAAAATGAATGAGGGACATTTATTCCATATGTTAGCTTCCATTTTTTTTTATGTATATCTGTATTTTTATAATACGTTTTCTGTATTCATAAAAAAAAAGCTTCCGTCTTGCTGAGCCTCGTATCAACTGAAATCAAAGAAAAGCATTCTACTTTTTTTATTTATCTTTTTTTTTTTTACTTTCTCCTTTCCTTCTCTTTATTATCCATTCATTTTTATCATTCATATATATATATATATATATATATATATATATATATATATATATATATATATATATATATAGTTTTTTTTCTGATTTATTTCTGTTTTGTGTTGTAGGGAAATCCAATACCGTAAGTTTATCTTTCTCCAGGCTTGCTATTCAAAAGAGACGTATATGCCCGTTCTTTTGATGGGGTTAAAAAAAACCGCGGAAGAAAAAATATTAAAAAAACTCAAAAAAAATCAATCATTCACTACAATAAAGCATTATAGTTCTAGCAGTTTTGGTTCAGCAGGGGTGTGACTGAAGAGGGGCAGTAACAGAAGAAAGATTGAAGAAGGGCTAACTGTTGAGATAACTGAACAGTTGGGTGTGAGATAAACAAAGATTAGAGGACATATTACGAACAGAACTTGTGGAATTGAAAAAAAAATATAATGATAAGAAATACGATAAAAAGTGAATAAGAATTTCAATGTGGCGAATATTGTCAAGAAAAAAAAAATAAGGTCATTATTTTTCCTCTTATAAAAATTGATTTGCTAATAAGATGTCAAACTTAGAAGTTTATCTTTATTCAATGTGACAGTAAATGTGACTTCTCACGTATAGTTTTTATTCGCATCTCTTTTTATCAAGATCCAATTCAATCTTTTTAACTTCAGTTTTCTTACCTTTCTTTACTTCTCTTTCTCTACATGAGCGACTTTCTATCTTTCTCCCTCGCTTCTTCTCCCCTTCACTCTTTCCACTTTTCCTTTCATCTCTTTCTCTTCCTCAGAAACTCTCGATCTCTGACTTCATCTCCAATTCACTCTTTCAACTTTATCTTTTTTATTTGGTTTTCTTCATCAGCGATTCTCTCTCTCTCTCTCTCTCTCGCTTCCTTTTCACTTCATTCCTTTCATTTTTCTTTCTTTTCTCTTTCTCTTCATCGGCGACTTTCTCTCTCTTCCTTTTCACTTCATTCCTTTCATTTTTCTTTCTTTTCTCTTTCTCTTCATTGGCGACTCTCTCTCTCTCTCGCTTCCTCTTCACTTCATTCCTTTTACTTTTCTTTCTTTTCTCTTTCTCTTCATCGGCGACTCTCTCTCTCTCTCTCTCTCTCGCTTCCTTTTCACTTCATTCCTTTCATTTTTTCTTTCTTTTCTCTTTCTCTTCATTGGCGACTCTCTCTCTCGCTTCCTCTTCACTTCATTCCTTTTACTTTTCTTTCTTTTCTCTTTCTCTTCATTGGCGACTCTCTCTCTCTCGCTTCCTCTTCACTTCATTCCTTTTACTTTTCTTTCTTTTCTCTTTCTCTTCATTGGCGACTCTCTCTCTCGCTTCCTTTTCCCTTCATTCCTTTTACTTTTCTTTCTTTTCTCTTTCTCTTCATTGGCGACTCTCTCTCTCTCGCTTCCTCTTCACTTCATTCCTTTTACTTTTCTTTCTTTTCTCTTTCTCTTCATTGGCGACTCTCACTCTCTCTCTCGCTTCCTTTTCCCTTCATTCCTTTTACTTTTCTTTCTTTTCTCTTTCTCTTCATTGGCGACTCTCTCTCTCTCGCTTCCTCTTCACTTCATTCCTTTTACTTTTCTTTTCTTTTCTCTTTCTCTTCATTGGCGACTCTCTCTCTCTCTCCTTCCTTTTCCTTCATTCCTTTTACTTTTCTTTCTTTTTCTCTCTCAATTGGCGACTCTCTCTCTCTCCTTCCTCTTCACTTCATTCCTTTTACTTTTCTTTCTTTTCTCTTTCTCTTCATTGGCGACTCTCTCTCTCCTTCCTTTTTCCCTTCATTCCTTTTACTTTTCTTTCTTTTCTCTTTCTCTTCATTGGCGACTCTCTCTCTCCTTCCTTTTCCCTTCATTCCTTTTACTTTTCTTTCTTTTTCTCTTTCTCTTCATTCATGGCGTCCTCTCTCTCTCTCGCTTCTTTTCCTTTCATTCCTTTCCTTTTTCTTTCTTTTCACTTTCTCTTCATTGGCGACTCTCTCTCTCTTCCTCTCTTCACTTCATTCCTTTTACTTTTCTTTTCTTTTCTCTTTCTCTTCATTGGCGACCTCTCTCTCTCTCGCTTCCTCTTCACTTCATTCCTTTTTTTTTTTTCTTTTCTCTTTCTCTTCATTGGCGACACTCTCTCTCTCTCGCTTCCTTTTCACTTCATTCCTTTTACTTTTCTTTCTTTTCTCTTTCTCTTCATTGGCGACTCTCTCTCTCTCGCTTCCTCTTCACTTCATTCCTTTTACTTTTCTTTCTTTTCTCTTTCTCTTCATTGGCGACTCTCTCTCTCTCGCTTCCTTTTCACTTCATTCCTTTCATTTTTCTTTCTTTTCTCTTTCTCTTCATTGGCGACTCTCTCTCTCTCTCTCGCTTCCTTTTCACTTCATTCCTTTCATTTTTCTTTCTTTTCACTTTCTCTTCATTGGCGATTCTCTCTCTCTCTTGCTTCCTTTTCACTTCATTCCTTTCATTTTTCTTTCTTTTCTCTTTCTCTTCATTGGCGACTCTCTCTCTCTCGCTTCCTTTTCACTTCATTCCTTTCATTTTTCTTTCTTTTCTCTTTCTCTTCATTGGCGACTCTCTCTCTCTCCTTCCTCTTCACTTCATTCCTTTTCTTTTCTTTCTTTTCTCTTTCTCTTCATTGGCGACTCTCTCTCTCTCTCTTCCTCCTCACTTCATTCCTTTCACTTTTCTTTCTTTTCTCTTTCTCTTCATTGGCGACTCTCTCTCTCTCTCTCCTTCCTTTTCACTTCATTTCCTTTTCATTTTCTTTCTTTTCTCTTTCTCTTCGTGGCGATTCTCTCTCTCTTGCTTCCTTTTCACTTCATTCCTTTTATTTTCTTTCTTTTCTCTTTCTCTTCATTGGCTCTCTCTCTCTCTCCTTCCTTTTCACTTCATTTCCTTTCATTTTCTTTCTTTTCTCTTTCTCTTCATTGGCGACTCTCTCTCTCTCCTTCCTCTTCACTTCATTCCTTTTACTTTTCTTTCTTTTCTCTTTCTCTTCATTGGCGACTCTCTCTCTCTCTCCTTCCTTTTCCCTTCATTCCTTTCATTTTTCTTTCTTTTCTCTTTCTCTTCATTGGCGACTCTCTCTCTCTCTCTCGCTTCCTTTTCCCTTCATTCCTTTTACTTTTCTTTCTTCTCTCTTTCTCTTCATTGGCGACTCTCTCTCTCTCTCCTTCCCTTTTCCCTTCATTCCTTTCATTTTCTTTCTTTTCTCTTTCTCTTCATTGGCGACTCTCTCTCTCTCTCTCTCGCTTCCTTTTCACTTCATTCCTTTCATTTTTCTTTCTTTTCTCTTTCTCTTCATTGGCGACTCTCTCTCTCTCGCTTCCTCTTCACTTCATTCCTTTTACTTTTCTTTCTTTTCTCTTTCTCTTCATTGGCGACTCTCTCTCTCTCGCTTCCTTTTCCCTTCATTCCTTTTTACTTCTTTCTTTTCTCTTTCTCTTCATTGGCGACTCTCTCTCTCTCTCTCTTCCTCTTCACTTCATTCCTTTTACTTTTCTTTCTTTTCACTTTCTCTTCATTGGCGACTCTCTCTCTCTCTCCTTCCTTTTCCCTTCATTCCTTTTACTTTTCTTTCTTTTCTTTTTCTTCATTGGCTCTCTCTCTCTCTCTCCTTTTCCCTTCATTCCTTTTACTTTTCTTTTCTTTTCTCTTTCTCTTCATTGGCGACTCTCTCTCTCTCTTCCTCCTTTTCACTTCATTCCTTTCATTTTTCTTTCTTTTCTCTTTCTCTTCATTGGCGACTCTCTCTCTCTCTCTCGCTTCCTTTTCCTTCATTCCTTTCATTTTCTTTTTCTTTCTTTCTCTTTCTCTTCATTGGCGAATCTCTCTCTCTCTCTCTTCCTTCCTTTTCACTTCATTTCCTTTCATTTTTCTTTCTTTTCTCTTTCTCTTCATTGGCGACTCTCTCTCTCTCTTCCTTTTCCTTCATTCCTTTTATTTTTCTTTCTTTTCTCTTTCTCTTCATTGGCGACTCTCTCTCTCTCTCTCCTTCCTTTTCCTTCATTCCTTTTGCTTTCTTTCTTTTCTCTTTCTCTTCATTGGCGACCCTCTCTCTCTCTTCCTTTTCCCTTCATTCCTTTTTCTTTCTTTTCTTTCTTTCACTTTCTCTTCATTGGCGACTCTCTCTCTCTCTTCCTTTTCCCTTCATTCCTTTTCTCTTTCTCTTTCTTTTCTTTCTCTTCATTGGCGACTCTCTCTCTCTCTCTCCTTCCTTTTCACTCTCATTCCTTTCATTTTTCTTTTTTCTTTTCTCTTTCTCTTCATTGGCGTCTCTCTCTCTCTCTCTCCTTCCTTTTCCTTCATTCCTTTCATTTTTCTTTCTTTTCACTTTCTCTTCATTGGCGACTCTCTCTCTCTCTCTCTCCTTCCTCTTCACTTCATTCCTTTCATTTTTCTTTCTTTTCTCTTTCTCTTCATTGGCGACTCTCTCTCTCTCTCTCGCTTCCTCTTCACTTCATTCCTTTCATTTTTCTTTCTTTTCACTTTCTCTTCATTGGCGACTCTCTCTCTCTCTCGCTTCCTTTTCCCTTCATTCCTTTCACTTTTCTTTCTTTTCTCTTTCTCTTCATTGGCGACTCTCTCTCTCTCTCGCTTCCTCTTCACTTCATTCCTTTCATTTTTCTTTCTTTTCACTTTCTCTTCATTGGCGACTCTCTCTCTCTCGCTTCCTCTTCACTTCATTCCTTTCATTTTTCTTTCTTTTCTCTTTCTCTTCATTGGCGACTCTCTCTCTCTCGCTTCCTCTTCACTTCATTCCTTTTACTTTTCTTTCTTTTCTCTTTCTCTTCATTGGCGACTCTCTCTCTCTCGCTTCCTTTTCCCTTCATTCCTTTTACTTTTCTTTCTTTTCTCTTTCTCTTCATTGGCGACTCTCTCTCTCTCTCTTCCTTTTCCCTTCATTCCTTTCACTTTTCTTTCTTTTCTCTTTCTCTTCATTGGCGACTCTCTCTCTCTCCTTCCTTTTCCCTTCATTCCTTTCATTTTCTTTCTTTTCTCTTTCTCTTCATTGGCGACTCTCTCTCTCTCCTTCCCTCTTCCCTTCATTCCTTTCCTTTTCTTTCTTTTCTCTTTCTCTTCATTGGCGACTCTCTCTCTCTCCTTCCTTTTCCCTTCATTCCTTTTATTTTCTTTCTTTTCTCTTTCTCTTCATTGGCGACTCTCTCTCTCTCCTTCCTTTTCCCTTCATTCCTTTTACTTTTCTTTTTCTTTTCTCTTTCTCTTCATTGGCGACTCTCTCTCTCTCCTTCTCACTTCATTCCTTTCATTTTTCTTTTCTTTTCTCTTTTCTCTTCATTGGCGACTCTCTCTCTCTCTCTTCCTCTTCACTTCATTCCTTTCATTTTTCTTTCTTTTCTCTTTCTCTTCATTGGCGACTCTCTCTCTCTCTTTCCTTTTCCTTCATTCCTTTTTACTTTTCTTTCTTTCTCTTTCTCTTCATTGGCGACTCTCTCTCTCTCCTTCCTTTTTCCCTTCATTCCTTTCCTTTTCTTTCTTTTCTCTTTCTCTTCATTGGCGACTCTCTCTCTCTCGCTTCCTTTTCCCTTCATTCCTTTCACTTTTCTTTCTTTTCTCTTTCTCTTCATTGGCGACTCTCTCTCTCTCTTTCTCTCTCGCTTCCTCTTCACTTCATTCCTTTTACTTTTCTTTCTTTTCTCTTTCTCTTCATTGGCGACTCTCTCTCTCTCTTTCTCTCTCGCTTCCTCTTCAATTCATTCCTTTCACTTTTCTTTCTTTTCTCTTTCTCTTCATCGGCGACTCTCTTTCTCCCACTCTCGTTTCCTCTCCTCTTCGCTTTTTTCCTTTTCTTTTTTTTCTCTTCATCAGCAAGTCTTTCTTTCTCGCTTCCTCTCCATTTCACTTTTACATCTTTTTTCTCTTTCTTTTTCTTCATCAGCGACTCTCTCTCTCTCTCGCTTCTTCTCCTGTTCATTTTCTCCACTTTTCCTTTCATCTCTTTTTCTTCATCAGAAACGCCACCTCTCTCTCTCTCTCTCTCTCTCTCTCTCTCTCTCTCGCTCTATCTCCAATTCATTCTTTTGACTTTTTCTTCTCTTTTTCTTCATCAGTGATTCTCTCTCGCTTCCTCTTCGCTTCACTCTTTTCACTTTTATACTTTCTCTTTCTCTTCGTCAACGACTCTCTCTCTCTCTCTCGCGCTTCCTTTTCACTTTACTTTTCTTCTCTTTCTATTCATTAACGGTTCTCACTCTCTCACTTCTTCCCCATTTTTATTTTTCAGCTTTTCTTTTTATTTCCATTTCTCTTTCCCACTCTCACCTCCTTTCAGTTTCTTTATATTTCTCTTTCTCACTCTTTTCTCTCTTTGCTCTCTTTCTATTTGTTGTTTTATTTCTCAATCTTCTTGCCTCTCCTACTGTTTCTCATTTTGTTTACTCGTTTACGTTGCTTTCACTCACTCTATCTCCTTTTTCTTCCCCCTTCTCTTCTTCCTTAGTTCATTATTTCACGCTTTCTTTTCTTCGTTCTCCCTTTCTCTCACCTTCTCTTTTTATCCCTCCATATCTCTGTGTTTCTTTTCCTTACCTTTTCTCTTTTACTTAGTCATCGTCCAGCTCTCCACATTTTACTTTTCCTTTCTCGTCTCTTTCTTTTTCTTCGCTTTTTTTAGTTATCGCCTTCACTCTCATCTCCCTTTTTTACACGATTTATTTTCACATCTCTTTTTCTTTCTCTCCCCCTTTCCACGTTTCGTTTACTTTGTCGCTTTCCATTTCTGTTCCTCTCTTTCTCTCTTCTGTTCTTTTTCTTGCCACTTTTTCTATATCAAACCTTTTTCTCCCCTCTCTCTCCTTTTCCTCTTTCTCTCATTTCCTTCCTTTTTTTCTACTTCTCTCGTTATAGCTCAATGCGCTTTTCGTCTCTCATCTTCTCTCTCATTCTTCTCTTATTATCGTTCTTTTTCTTTCCCTCTCTATATCTCTTTACTATTTCTTACTTATGTTTTTTCCTTCTTTGCCTTCCTCTTCCACTCGTTGTCCTCCTTCTCGCATTCTCACTTTTTTGCTTCCATCTCTATTTCTAAATTTTCTTCCCGACATCTTTACGTCTCTTTTCATTTCTCTTCCCCCACACTCTATTATTTGAAAATCTTTTTTGTCACCATTGTAGTATTTTTTAAATCATAGCCCATATTGACCACATTGGAAATTAAACGTTTAAAAAAATATGACTAACGTTTTTCTGACTCCAACTTAATGGCGTCTTGTTCCCCCGGAAGTAGACAGGGACATACGAATTATTCGAATTCCTGAATTTCTTACACACACACACACACACACACACACACACACACACACACACATATATATATATATATATATATATAGCACACACCGATAATTCATATCTGCTGGTAGATGGGTACGTTTCGTCCCTCTTGTACGGTTCGTTTATTTTTATTCTACAGCCATTATTTTTTCAATTCTATTTATTTAATTCAATTCTATCTACCTAATTGATTTCTGGCAAGGTTAGAACTGAGTGTAACAGCTTTTTGCTTTTTTATTGTCAAGTGGCGAAGTAGTTATAGGAAAACGGTTTGTCTAAATATTCGCCCACTCACTCTCTGATAACTACCGCCGAAATCGATACTCACTCACTCACTCACTCACTCACTCACTCACTCACTCACTCACTCACTCACACATGCACTCATTCACTCACTCACTCATCATTCACACACTTACTCACTCAAGTTTCGTAGACTCCATTGAGGAGTACAGAGCCAGAACTCTCAGCACGGTAGGAAGCAGAATTTTACGTGATGGAACTGCTAATCGCATGCCTATATATTCCTTTGTTCCTCCTTACTTTTTTGTCTCGTCAGATGTTATCCTGACTACAGCCCATCTCTCTGAAGTTGACAAGTTATTCTAACTACAGCACGTCGTTCTGAAATTGACAACTTGGTCGAACAATTTTCGGCTACACTGACTACACGCGAGATGTCTTCCCCAGTTCACAACCTATTACTCTCTTCATCTATGTTAGCAATCTTACTCTGCCACTCCCGCTACTAATAAGAATAGACCGGCCTAACACCGATCAAAATTTTAAATTTAAGTTTATTTTCATAAAAAGTTTCGCACAGTGAGGAATCAGACAGAGATCGAGTTTTTGCCTATATGATCTCCACCAGAAAAATACACCGTCTGCAAAAACATCTGTCGGTGAGTAATTCCCATTTTAAGCATATAACTACATTGGCAATTAGGTCTCATCGTATTATCGTTGCAATAGCAATAGCTAGATGTAAGCGTGAGTTTTATTATAACAGTTTAGTTTTGCACTCCTTGCCTGTGGAATTCTCTTCCAGTTTTTACCTTTCCTATCACCTATAATCTTTAAAAAATTTAAATGCAACATCTGTCTTCTTGAATCCTGAATCCTATTCATTTATTGTCTTTTCTCCTCAGTAAAATATTATCTTTCTTTCTCAGTAACACCTGGCACCTTAGTGGCAGTATGAGTAATGATTAATATACATATATATAATGCAAAAGAAACAACATTAAATAAAATATCTTTCTCCACAGGTATGTATAAAATAATAAAATATTTAATATGCGTTAGAAATGATTATTATACATTCATCTGGTCAGGTGCTTCTGCTATGTATTTTGAGATTCTTGATAAAGTACAAAGAAGAATCTGCAATGTTATTGGTCTTGACTTGGCATCTCAGCTTCAGTCACTCTTCCATTGCCATAAAGTAGTTTCCCTGTGCCTTTTCTATAAATGCTTTGTATGGTAATTGTTCTGATGAACTTTTCTTTATTATATCCAGCCTTTATGAATTTAAACGCAGTATTAGATTGGCGGCAAGGAATAATCATTTTATCCTTGAAATGGGTAGATGTAACCGTAAGTTTTATGCTAACAGTTTCTTCTCTTGCACTTCTTGCGTGTGGAACTCTCTTCTGACTTCCTGTTTTCGAGTCAACTTCAAAAAGTTAAATGCAATGCTAAGCGTTATCGTTTGTCTTCTCAATTCCTGTTCTTTTATTGTCCTATCTCGTTAATAATGTTTTTGTCTCAAACTCTCTCCCAATAGTAACACCTTGCATCTTAGTGGCTTTATTTCCATGATTGGAATAAAATGATTTAAAAAAATTGCAAAAGCAATGACGCATATATATATATATATATATATATATATATATATATATATATATATATATATATATATATAGGTTGGAGCAAGTTTGTTTTAGTGTTTTTTTTAAGTACGTTCGACTAACTGAATATTTAAGTTTGAAACATTACTTTTCATGTGACACAAGGCCAAATGGTGGTTGGGGAATGTTAGTCGTCTCTGAATATTATACTTCGAGTTAATCTGAAAGAAAAGAAGTGCAAGAGAAGAAACTGTCAGCATAAAACTTATGGTTCCATCTAGCCATATATATATATATATATATATATATTTTCATTGAATAATATCATATTATGCATACATATTTTTATACTGATCCATTTCAAATTTTTTGATGTTTAGATGAAATTCATCAAGGAAGGCGCCGTAGTTTTTTCTTACCGAGTACTTTCGATCTACTCCAAGATCATCTTCAGGGTAAATTACAAAGACAAACTTATTGTAACTGTGAGAACATCTGCATTTCGTTTTGCCGGTGATTAAAAAAAAACACGCGTGAACAGGGTCTGTTATAATTATTTAAAAAATTATTTAAATTTTTAAATTTATCATCGACTTGTCTAGCATTTATATATATATATATATATATATATATATATATATATAAAATTCATGAATCATTCATACAATAAAACAAATAGAGGTTAATGATTTAAATGGTGAGAATACATGTTTGAAGATGTATTCTCGCCATTTAAATCATTAACCTTCTGTTTGTTTTATTGTATGAATGATTCATGAATTATAAATTATAATTGCACCTATATTGAAATATAATATATATATATATATATATATATATATATATATATATATATATATATATGGGGCATTATACAAGTTTTATCAAATTCAACCGTTAAGTTTTGTCTATTAAAAGAGCCTGGCGTCCCCCATATATATATATATATATATATATATATATATAGTTATACACGTTTGGAAAAAACCTTAGATATTTGGGCTTTAATTGAACAAACCAATGCCCAAGGGAAAATAAGGGATAAAAAAAGAAAGAACTAAGACCATGACATTGAGTCCTAAGAAAAAAACTCCAAAACGAGTAAAGCAAAAGTAACTACGTAAAGTGTTCAATACGCTAAGTAGAGCAAACCTAAATATGAACATAAAGAGCCAGTTAAACCTACTTACGTTTCACCTATACGGATCGTCAGGGTTAACTGGCCTTTAGGTTCATATATATATATATATATATATATGGATAGGGGGCAAACAAAACTAGTTCAATTCAACCTTCAAGGTCTGTCTATTAAAAGAGCCTGACGATTGTATTTAAGCATGAAACAGACTGTTGTTGCTGGGTTTTGAATTCCATGTCCACTTTTATATTTACATACTCTCTATCTCTGATATTGAGCACTTTGGTCCATAAATATAGCGAGTTTTGAAACTATATTTTTATACAGTGTCCGCCAAAAAAAAAAATGAATTCACACTTCAAGAAAAGGAAAACTTGTATTTCAGGTTTTATCAAATTCCGACAACACTCTTTACTGTAGTAGTTTCTCTGCAGATGCCATTTACTCTCATGGCTGTAGCATCAACAAGTCCTAAAAGATGTGAATCGCAGTAAACAGACTACAGAAGCGGCCCTAAGACAAAAATTGCAGCGATCCCACTGGACACTTTGGCCAACGTTGCTCAAGCAGTAGTTCACCATACTAATAAATCTCTGTAAGCTAAGAGCCACCATTTTTAGCAACTCTTGTGATTGTAGAGTCCAAAAGTAACTTGTATTAATCTCATAATGCCTGAATTAATGTAGTATTTTATTATCTATACAAGTTTTCCTTTTCTGAAGTGTGTATTCATTTTAGCTCTCTCTCTCTCTATCTATCTCCCTCTCTTTATATATATATATATATATATATATATATATATATATATATATATATATATATATATATATATATATATATATAAAATTTAAAGCAGTAAAATCGACCTTGCCAATCAAACGATTCACCGTGGCTCGATCGGTTAAGGCACGTCAGGCTAATGGACGGTTCCGTATAGGATACAGGTTCAATTCCTGTGGGAGAACGAATATTTTCTATGAAATTTTCTCGGACATTCAGGCCGGCAAATGTTTATTATAAAGCAGAGCATTTACTTAAATATTTGTATCTATAAAAAGAATGTATAAACATAAAAATGTCTTAAAATAATTGTCGGACTTTGTCCATTTCATAATATATATATATAGTGGAATCTCTTATCGTGAACGATAAATGAGGGTCAGCATTGGATGGTGCCTTTCGTTTTACGCTTATGCATGCTAGCAGGGACTATTGTGAAGAAAATTAGGTAAGGGAAAGACATATTTCATTTATGCTTTCTTATGTGTGATACTAGCTCAGCCTTGTTGCGAGCGACAAAGGTAAACTGATAGATAAAATTTGTTAAATCCGGATTTTGATGGCGTCTCTGCTTTAGAGCTTTACGAAACTGATCACGGTTCTTCAGTCAACTGTCTTCAAAACCCTTTAACTTAATGAAACCTGTCTTACGCCACCCCTTTCGGTTTCATGCTTGGGCTTCCCAGGTTTTCAGATCAAAGTTGAGACGTTTCAGGTTATCTTTCAATTTGTCTTTGTAGCGTAAGAGTGGACGTCCAGCTGAACCCTTGGAGTTTGGTATTTGTCCATACAGCACCTTTTTTGGAAGCCTATGCTCATCAATCTCAAAACATGACCAGCCCACCTAAGTTGTATCTTTGCTAGAATTGTTTCAATGCCGATGATGTTGTTACATTTCTTCCGTATTGCACTATACTTGATCCTGTATATATATATATATATATATATATATATATATATATATAATATATTATATATCATATATTATATATATATATATATATATATATATATATATATATAATCATTGAGGACTTTACACGGCTGATTTGTGAGGTCTCAATGTTCAGCATGAAATAATACTAAATCAATGCATATATAATTATGACCAGGCCGACTTCCACTATTTATCAAGGACGTCTGCAAGAAGGATTTGAAATGTACAGGTATCGACCCAGATAACAGGAAACAATTAAAAGATGAACACAACTGCATGAAGAGGTGGGGTTGAAAAGAAGCGAAACCATCAGCTGGAGAACAGAAGACAATGCAGAGATAGATAGATAGATAGATAGATAGATAGATAGAGAGAGAGAGAGAGAGAGAGAGAGAGAGAGAGAGCAATCTTTTTTTCCGCATTCTAGCTTCGTCTGCCACACCTGCAGAAAAGGCAGCCATACAAAGATTGAACTGCTAAACTACTCCAATACGCTGCTCATAAAAGAACTGGATATTGACTAACCATTTACTCGCGAAATAAACGGGTGCTCAACACCTACTACCACTATGTTCAGCAAGCCTTGGTAAATGTCCATACATGCAATGTAAGAATGCATTGATATACTTCTATTTGTTCTATAATTGTCTCTATGTTTATTTCTTCTTTATGAAAATTTAATAAAGGGTAGAACAGATTTTTAAGAATATTTACTGATGTTTTTATCATAACCGAATCCTTAGCATTGGAAACTATTGGTTTTTAAACTTTCATTCGATCAAATCATCGACCTTATAATTTAATTCTACCTCCATCAAACCAAATATTCTCGAAAAATTATTGCATGCCTACAGAACTAAAGTCCCTTTCTACGACCATAATGGCGATATCAACACCCAAACTAATGGTAAGAGGGCGAAAATAGATTGAGAAAGTGTGAGAGTGAAAGGGAAATTAGCAGAAAAGGAACAGAAGTGTCAAAATGAAAGAGATAGAGACGGAAAGAAAGGGAGGCTAAAAATAGAAAGAATGGGAATGATAGAGAGAATAAAATTAAAGAGAGGGAGAAACGAAACGAGAGAGAGTGAGAGAGAGAGAGAGAGAGGGGGGGAGTGAGAGAGAGTACTTTTAAAGTATCTACTTTTGCGTAGTGGTTAACAAACTAAACTAGCAAACCAATTACTAGTGTAGTCAGTTCAATTCTTAGGCTGATTTGGTCTTGTGATTGGTATAATTGCGTATTTCTTAACTACTAGCACCAGAGGTTGGTGTTCAGGCCCAGTAATGTTGGTTTTGTTTGTCAGGCAAGTAAGCGCTCACCACTTAGGCGATTGGTGTATCTTCTTTAGCCCATTTACTCTCTTTCTTTTGGCCTTTTGTCACACTAAGATAACCTGAGTAAATATCCTTTACACGCTTGCATAAAGAATATGCATATTCGCACATGCGAAAAGAGAGAGAAGAACGAGAGTGTGTGTAGAAGTGAGAGAACTGGGGAGTGAGAAAAAAGAGATAAAAGAGACGAGAAAAAAGGCAGAGAAGGCGGAGGAGGAGGAGTAGAAGGAGGGGGAGAGAGAGAAAGAGAGAAATCAATGTAATGAAAGAGATAAGGAAAGAGGAAATATAGAGAAAGAAGGAAAGAGAGAAAGAGAGAGAGAAAATAATGCAGGAAAAGAAAAAAGGAAAGAAGAGGAAAAGAAAGAAAGAAAGAAAGAAAGAAAGAAAGAAAGAAAGAAAGAGAGAAAGAAAGAGAAAGGCGTGTCTGAATAGTGACAAAATGAGAGAGATAATAGAAGAAAAGAAAGAAAGAAAGAAAGAAAGAAAGACAGACAGAAAGAAAGAGAAAAGAATGTAGAGAAAGAGAAAAGGAGAGGAAAAGAGAAAGAGAGAAATGTATGAATGGGAGATAACGAAAGAAAGAAAGAAAGAAAGAAAGAGAGAAAGAAAGAAAGAGAAGAGAATGTAGGAAAAAAGAAGAAGAAAGATTAAGAAAGAACGAAATGAGAAAGAGAAAGAAAAGGAGAGATAAGTCTTCATTAAACGTATCGAAGAAAGATGAATCCAATTTTTATGAATTTTTCCGCGGGCTGATGATGATTGAAAGTTTATAAATATAAAACGGAAAATCGATTACATATTGGCCATTTGTTCTTTTTTTTTCTCGCCATGTTGGTTTGTTTCCAGATAATAGCCAGGCCGTGAAATGTTAAAACCTTTTGTTTGGTTTTGTATTTGTGAAAATAGAAAATTCTTTTGATTCGAGATATATCCCCGGAGAAAATGTATGTTTGCATGTATGTATGTGTTAAAAAAAACCCCTAAAAAACAAACTTAAGAAAAGAAAAAGAAAAGGAAACGAAACAAACAAAAAGTACTTTTAAGAAACAGTTTTACTATCAAAACAGAACCTTGACATTGGAAACAAAATTAAATAGTTCAAATAGAAAGAAAAAAATATAAGCTTTTGAGCCATATTTCTGTATTTTTGTTTGTTTGTTTTTTGCACATATTTTTTATCCCCAAAAGATACCACTAAAATAATATCGTTAACAAATTGATCTCATAAAATGAAATTGTTTTATGTTTACAATATCCCGCGAATCATGGGACCTCAATATGAAATAATGGTTACCAAACTACTTTCAAATAAGATTACGAATGTTGTTAGATTTATCATCACTAAACACTACGTATTAGTGGCATTGTGTCTTACCAAGTTAAGCTCGGTAAATATTCCTATATACACCTCGTTATGGATCAACAGTAAGCTATACTAGCAGACTATTTCGGCATAAAGCATAGTAAATATCTAAGACGTGGAACAAAAGTTTCGCAGATAATTGCTTCTGTAGTTAGTTTAATATTCAAGGTTGCATCTCACTTACAGCCTTGAACCAAACTAAGCTAGACTTATTAAATATTTACTGAGTTGAGATACGTTTAGTGAGTAAGTCAGCTTAGACAAACGGTGTATTATTAGTACAGGTCAAGAATCCTTTATCCGAAATTTTTGGGACCGGAAGTGCTTCGGCTTTCAAATTTTTCCGGATTTTAGAATACAGGCTATTTCATTTTTATATAGCATCTATAAAATGAGAAAGCTTGGGAATAGAACCTAAGCATAAACACGATATTCCTCTACATTTCATAACACAGCAGCTTATACATATAACCTGAAAGAAGTTTTATATAAAATTTAATCAATTTTGTGTACATACAGATACAGGTAATGGCGCTAGTCGTGTAATGCTTACACGGATTTTTAAATAGTGAATTTAAGATTTCACGTAAAATTAATGTTTTATACTTTCTGTCAGTGAGTGATACACGCTTAGGCGATCTTGTATCTTTCGAGTAGGTTGCCATTTCTTTCTGCGGTAGACCAGTTGCCATCCAAGGCTATAGAACCCGGTCTGTCCTGCTATTTACCCATAGTTAAGGCGAGGAAGATGATTCATACCTTTCCCAATGATATTAGCACGTAAGTGAATGTAATGGATTCGACTAGAATTCGAACACGGTTCTCTGATTCCTCAATCCGAGCCGCTATCCATTACTCCACCGATACTTTCTGCACGGGCACAAATAAACTACAATATTTTTTTTTAGCGAAAAGCAACTAAGAAATTGATAATCACTACTTACAAAAATATATATAAATGCAAGATTTTTTTAAATTTTGAATAATATCTTTACTGAGGACGAAACACCTGGTAAGTAATCCATAAATGAAGGGGTTGCTGAGACGATCGATAACAAAACCAGGCTTCAACGTAGGAGACGTAGGTGCGGCTGAGGAACACCTACCCAAGCAGATGAGGTCGCTTACAACAGCTGTACATTCCATAGGAACCTTCCCAGTGTTTTCTGAAAATTTCCCTTTCTGGCAAGTCCTGTCAGCACCTGGAAAACTTTCGGATTTTGGAAGTTTTAGGATTTGGGAATTTCGGATAAAATATACTCAACCTGTATATTGGTTTCTACGTCACAAGATGGCCGAAATCTTTGAAGATTCCATCAGAATATCTCTTATTTCCTTGCATGTATATAATGTACCAATATTAAATCGCCATCAGCTTTCAGAGCGTGTAATTTTATTTTCTGTCCCCCCCCTCTCTCTCTCTCTCTCTCTCTATATATATATATATTATATAAACGCTGGGCATTTCGATGTGTTATAATGCTTTGTAAGCTTCACACAAACACACACACACACACACACGCACTCTGGGTACTTTGCGTGGTGCAATGATTACTAAGCTTATCTCGTTTGATCAGTTACGACTGGGTAATGAGTCCGATCCTCACAAGGAGCTCCACACTTTCTGGCTTGTGCCACATCTAAGCTGCGCTTAGTAAATTACTACACACACGCACGCACGCACGCACACACACACACACACACACACACACACACACATATATATGGTGTTTGTTTACGTTTGTAAAAACAATACGCTAGATTTGGCTGACTCATTCTGTCGAGTGAAGATAGCACAGTAGGTAGAAACTCTGATTAACACCAAACCGGTTGAGTTTCGATCCGGGCTTGAGTCATTCGTTTGTCCAGTCGCACTGAGGAACTGTGTATTGTATAGGATTATGTCTGTGAATGACATAATATAAAAATGGCGCCAGACCTCTCCATGACGCAAACAAAAATAAACACACCATTAACTTATTCTATCGTAACAAAATGTACCCTAATTATAAGCAGTATGAAAAAACAATTAAAAACATAATTTACCGGTACATATCACTCAATGATTCTAAGATTTACCATCTATTACAATAAGTTTACAACAATTAACTTAATTATTACCTAAAGCACCGGACCTTATAAAAAAATAATGTAAAATATGTGAAAATAATTTTGTCTATGAATTCTCATGTCCCCCCACCCCCGATACTGCATCTCCAACACTAATAATAAAATAAAAAAAAAAGTTAAATACTTACATTGGGCACACATGCAACGCACTCCCTCGCAGACTAACTTGCACATCATGAACGACCAAAGTACAACTATCATCATATGACAAATATTAGTAGATAAGGCCAAAATATTCTACAGCACACAATGCAAAGAAAGTCTCAAAAGTCTAGAACGTATTATTATACAAAATAAACAGCCCACATTAAATAAAATATCATTTACCACAGGTATCACAAGGTATCAAGGAAGTGCATATGATATAATTAATGGTGCACCTCGGCGTGGTGTAGTATTTAGCAAGCTTGTCTCGCTAGAACAACTACAACTGTGTAGTAAGTTAGATCCTCACTGGGTGCTCCATACTTTCGGCCTTGTGCCACATCTAAGCAGCGCTTAGAAAATCGCTATGTTATAATTAGTGCGCACACATATTTGATCAGTATTATAATAAAAAATAAAAATAAACATTCTTTTGTGCGGCCTCGTTCCCAACAGCCGTTATATATGACGTCACGCTAGACCATTTCGAACATCCAGCTTCCCAAAGAGTGCCAGGGGCAGACATAGAAATTCTAACTACCACACAGATACTGCATCGCTTCTTTGATAATGACTGTGAAAGTCGAAAGTACTTGAACGAAAAAAAACAAAATTTGAACTTTGGGTGGTTTATCCACAACTTCGAGCACAATACACAACACACACACACACACACACACACACACACATATATATATATATTCAGAGAATGATGGCAACATGTATATACATTTTTCATCATCCAAAAACTACCAGTAAAAGTGTAAGGTTCTAGAAAAAGGAACAGAAATTGCGGTCATTTATTTATTTACTTAAATTATTAGTGTGCCAAAATTAGCGAAGTGTAATATAAACCGCTGTAAAAAGAAAAGAAAATAACACTTTAATTGCTTCATTTACAGATTTTTATGGATACATAGAGTAACTAAGATGAAATTAAATCGAAATAAAAAAAAGAAATAAACAGAGTTCAAAAAGGATCGTGGATTTGGTTAATATGAGATATGTGATCCTTTTTTTAAATGACTTAGAAAAGGTGCTGATCCATTGAACGTGTCAATTTATGGATCTCCTCTGATGTAATTTTACATGATACGTTGATTATTTCCCGCCATAAGTCATCTTTGCTTCTAAATTGGCGTCCATTCTCATAAACACGTCGCTTCAAAATGCTCCACAAGTTTTCAATTGCGTTTAAGTCTGGAGAATTGACTGGCCAGTTCATTTTATCGAAGTCTACAGATGCCTAATTTCTACAGGTACTCCATAGTTTTATGCTCTGAATGCGAAGGAACAATATCTTGCAAAAATATGATGGTTCTCTTGAAGGTGATTCTTTGCTTTTTTTTAGCCAAGATTCCAGGTGCTCTGTCTGAGGAATAAAAAATCCATCTCAAACACTGCTATATTTAATTTAGCATCTGCGGTTATTTTCGTACCGTTACGCATTCTCCATGGATCCATCGTAGATCTAATGATACCTCCAATATTTTCAGCATGATTTCTCAGGCCAAATCATAATACCCGTCCTCCTTGTTGGCGTGTCAAGCGTTGATGACAATCTTGTACGACCTAAACTTTTTTTCTCCAACCATCAGGGCCATCACACACACACACAACTTTCATCTCGAGGCATTTGTCCACAGAACTTTCCAAATCGATCTTCATGTTCTCCTTTGCCCATTTCAAAGACATTTGTATGTGTATTTTTGTCAATCGAGGCTTTGTCACTGGTTTCACCGATGTTCCAACCTTTTTCAGAAGATGATAGAAAGTACTTCTGGACACTGTAGCTTCTCCAGTGCTCCCGAAAAGTGCTCCACTGCTCAGGCCTGGGTTATTTACAGCTTCACATTTCATTCGGGACAAAGAACGTCGGGAAACAACCCTTGAGTGACACTTATCAGCCTTCTTCCGTACCTTCGTAGGAGCTGCAACAAATCTTTTCACAGTTTGGTGATATCTTATATATTATTTTGATAAATTTCGTAATATATTTTTTGCAGATTTGTCGACTCTAGTAGGGTCAGTTGGATACCTTCTGGAAAGTTCAGATGTTATA